ACAACAACGCTGCCGCCCCTCGTGCTCTGAACCCACATTCAAACGCAAGCGCCGGATTGCGCAAGGGCGACGCATGAAACATGCGTTGATCCGAAGAAAAACCATCGGCCACGGGTTCGAAAGGTCATCGGCCACGCAACCAAACGCAAAAACCCGCCGCGGTTGCGACCTGGACCCAGTATCCACATGCGCGCAAGTTATGAGCCCCAAATACTTCATGCCACGTCCTGCGCGCACCGCCCTAACACTACCAACGCCACCGCCGCTGCCACCGCCGCGACTGCCACCGCTGTCGCGACGACGACGGAAACAACGACGACGACGGTGCCTTCCGTCTTAGCCCAAGCTGCCGACGACAGGGCTCTGAAGGCGGGGGAGGGCCCTCCGACCCCCCCGCCCCCTGGCCCCGCGCGCGCGCGAGAGGCGCCTAGGCGCCGACGCACGTGCGCGGATTGATCCTTCGCTCATCCGCCACCTCCAGGGGCGCGAGAGGCTCGGCACCCAACTCCGAAGCATCTCCCTCGGCGCCCCGATCGGCGCAGAGAATAACGCAAGCGCGCGTCGCCGCAGCCGCGGCAAGGGCGCGCCCTCATCAGCGGGTTCCTTTCACTCTTCCACGTTATGGCGCTGCGTCCGTCTCCTCCCCCCCCTCCCCCTCCTCCTCCTCCTCCTCCTCCTCCTCCTCCTCCTCCTCCTCCTCCTCCTCCTCCTCCTCCTCCCCCCCCTTCTCCTCCTCCCCCACCTCCTCCCCGCCCCCCCCCCCCCTCCTACTCCTCGCCCAGCGGGCCGCCCCTCCGGCGAGAAGCCCCCGGGGCGGGCAGGCCGTTTCGACGCGAAGTCTCCAGGGCCAGCGGCGGGCGCCCATTAAGCTCCCACGTCGCATGGGCCCACGACGCCGAAGCCGCCCGGGGAGGCGCGGCGGGCAGACGACTGCGGAGCGGCCCACTCTCGCTCAGACACGCACCAACCTTTCCAGCCACAAGACGAGAACTCGGCTTCAGCTTGGGGACCCAACGCTCTGCGGAAGATATCCCGCAGGGCCTTCCTCGAGAGTTCTGCTGCGATCGCATGCAACCGCTGCGGGAATCTCCGACGCGCCGCGCAAGTCTGCGGAAGCGCCGCGGCGCGCTCCACATTGCGCGGCTGCTGGGCAAGGTGCCGCAAGAAGGCGACGACGGCGCATGCGGATTGGAATTCTTGTCGCGCGAGTTCGGCGGCGCGCCGTCTTTGCGCGCGTCCCCGCGGGCTTCCTCGGGCGCGCCCTTGAGCGCGGGCGGCGGGCGCACGCGCGCACGGCGGCCCTGCAAAGGCCGCCCGCCCCGCCGCCAGGCAGTTTGCGAGGTCTCTCATCCGCGCGGCGCTGTTCGGGTTGAGTGGCCCCCAGCGCTCCTCCGACGCAGGCAGACGCGCAATGCGATATGCGGCGCTGCCCACCGAAGCCGCGGGAACGGCGCCATTTGGACCCATCCAGGAGCTGGCGGCGCCACTGTCGGCGAAGGAGGCGCGCGAGTCGACCTCCGCGGCGAGGTTCGCCACCAGGCAGAAGGCATCCAGACGGGATGCGAGGTCTCGAAGGCCCGCGGAGAAAGCTATGTCATGAGCAGGAACTCCAATCAACGAGCGTCGCTTGCACGGCCCGTGTCAGGGGCGCCCAACCTGGGCGAGTCGGGAAGTCATTGATCAGCCTGCGCGGCCCAACCACATGCGCCTTTATGGCAAGGAACCCGCGGCGCAGCCTAGGCCATGCGTTTCACGTAAAAATCCCCGCGGTCAGCTCGGCGCGCGCCCAATCAACGAGCTCGATGGAATACCCGAAGATGCCGAAATTCCCCTGATACGCGCCCCACACCTGCACGCTGGCCTCGGCAGAGTTCGCCAGCAAGTATGTTGCCGGCGTGGTGAAGCGGATGATCTCCCTGAGCGCGGTGTTTGTTGGCGGCGCGGCCATTTCCGCCGCTTCCGAATGGAAGCTGCCTGCGCGCGCGTCTCGCCATTGGCCCGCCCGCAACGCGCCGTCGGCGACCTGCGCGCGACCCGCGAATGATCCGCCCGCGACTCGCCAGGCGCAGGGAAAGCGAAAGAGAGAGAAAGAGAAAGAAACAGAGAGAGCGAGAGAAATAACATAAGGAAACATATCGGGAGGACGAGGAAGAGGGGGAGGAAGAAGGATGACTTGAAATGTCGGCCGGCCACCGCAAGGGGAACTTCTGGAAAGGATTATAACACTCAACAAAAAGCATCCTAATCAAACCCGTCACACGAAAGCCCTGTGTACTCTCCGGCCGCGGGGATCGTTCTGCAATGCCTGACTGCGCGCTTTCTTTTTGTTTATGTTCGGGGAGAAAGGGAATCAATCAGCAACCTCGCAAAAGAAGCCACTTGCAACCTGACACGACGGTAGTCCCTGTCTAAGCTGCAACGAAAGGAATATGGTGTAAGTTTCCTCGGAAGGGACCACTGTGCACTCCCGGGATCCACGTGTAATCCGCCACAGAAGGAATCCTTGCGCATTCTGCGACAGAGAGGAAGGAGCTCCTAGTAATCTGCAACCATCGGGTGTATGTTGTGCCCCTTCTCTGCGCTTCAGCACGGACAGGCGAGATCGCATCATACGCTTGGCATCGCACGTTCGTATGGTAAACTAAGACTGAATAGTAAACATCAGAATGAATTTGTGATGTATATATATATACACAACTACCACTCCTACTACTAATAATAATACCAATACTACCAATAATAACGGTAATAACAATAATAATAATAATAATAATAATAACAATAATAATAAGAAGAAGAAGAATAATACTAATGAACGAAATAATGAGTATAACGATAATAATACGAATGGAAATAACAGTAGTAATAATATAATAATACATATAATAAGAACAAAATTACGAATACTACATGCAACTAGTAATACATAAGCTCCATATAGTAAGCTAGATAACTAATAACTAAGCTTTGCGCCTCGGAAAATAAGCTAATACTAAAAATGTTTCATCACACAGAAAATTGCTTTGGCTCCCCCCTCCCCCCACCCCTAGTCATCACCCCCCTCTTGTCCGCCCCCGCCCGTCCTCGCCCCCTCTCCCTCCCCCTCTCCACTTCCACCCTCCCGATGCGCCTCCTCCAGCGAGGGGCGGAGGTTCGGCTCGGCTGTCCACGCTGGAAGGGTCGAGCCCGTTCTGCCGGGCTGGCGCCCCGCCAACTTGGACCCGACGGCCGAAACCGTCGTTGCAGCGGGCTCGTCCTCAGCTCAGACACGCGAAGCCGAGGGGAAGGACATTGAAAAACGAGTGAGGCTCCAGAGAGGGGGGGGGTGATGGGAGGAAGGGGAGGAGGAGGAGAGGGAGGAGAAGGAGATGGGAGGAGGAGGCGGAGGAGATGGGAGGAGGAGGAGGAGGAGGAGATGGAGATGGAGATGGAGATGGAGGAGGAGGAGATGGAGGAGGAAAGGGAGGGAGGGCGATGTTCTCCAGCGAGCCACGGCCGCCCAAGCTTCGAGGGTACCGAGATGCTGGCAGCTGGACGCCAGAAGGGGGAGACCTGGTCGGGCCTCTCCGCGGCTGCTGGAATTGGAGAGCGAACACCCTTCACTGACGAACGGACAGCACACACCCATACCCATAGGGGGATCGGAGGGAGGGGGACTGTCTATGGGTATGGGTGCGGGTTGTCGGACCGCGGGGGAGGCTCCCGTTCGAGCGGGGACCCCATCCGACAGCACGCACCCGTAGCCCCCTCCGTGCCCCCTGTGGGCATGGGTGAGTGCTGCTCGCTCGTCGTTCACAACCCCGCTGAGCAGGACCTCGGGCTGGTTGCACAGCTGCGTGGGGCCCAGTGGCAAGATCAGTGACCATCGAATCGAGGAATCGGATCGCATCAAGATGTGTTTCGGGTCGGCCCGAAACGACACGGCGTCGCGAACGGTTCAGATCGGCCGCACCAAGATGCGCAGCGTCGCTATGCATGCACCAGGTTGCGTCGGACCGTGGGCATGTCGGAATCGAATCGGATCGGGCCAGCGGGAATCGACATCGAATCAGATCGATCGGATCAAAATGTGCCCTGCCGTGGTGGCCACCGAAGACGGCTCCCGCAGGCCGGCCAGGCGGAAAGCTCCCCGCCGATGAAGCTCTGGACCACACCTGCCCGTGGCCCAGCAAGTCGGTGCAGGCGCACAACTCCGAGGCTTGCTCCGCATGGCAATGATTGCCACCACCATCACATCATCATCACCATCACCATCACCATCACCATCACCATCATCATCATCATCATCATCATCATCATCATCATCATCATCATCATCATCATCATCATCATCATCATCATCATCATCATCAATCATCAGCATCAGCATCACCATCACCATCACCATCATCATCATCATCATCGTCATCATCCATCATCATCATCATCATCATCATCATCATCATCATCATCATCATCACCATCATCATCATCATCATCATCAATCATCATCATCATCAGCATCATCATCATCATCATTCATCATTAGCATCATCATCATCACATCATCATCATCAGCATCTCATCCATCATCATCAGCATCATCACCATCATCATCACCATCATCATCAGATCATCATCATCATCAGCATCAGCATCAGCATCATCATCATCATCATCATCATCATCATCATCATCATCATCATCATCATCATCATCATCATCATCATCATCATCATCATCATCACCATCATCATCATCATCATCATCACATCATCACCATCATCATCATCATCATCATCATCATCATCATCATCATCAGTATCATCAGCAGCAGCACCAGCATCATCATCATAATCATCTCATCATCATCATCATCATCATCAACAACAGCATGAGCATCTCATCAACATCATGATCATCATCACCACCACCACCATCATCATCATCAGCATCATTATCATCACCCCTGCTTCTCATCCTCCACCCCTTCCGCCCCCCACCCTGCCGTCCCGTGGGGCCTGCCGAAGCCGCAGAGCGCTCAGGACAGACGCGTTGCAGACGTACTCCCCGGCGGCGATGTCCTAACCGAGGTCCGACGGGCCGTGGCGGGGAGGGACTGCTGGGAACGCGGCGGCGCGCACAAAGGGGCATGGGGCCGGGAGGGGGGAGGGCGTCTTAGAAGGAAGCTGCTTCTTAGAAGGCGCCGGCCTTTCTCCTAGAAGTAAAACCAGCGCATTCTGAGAAGCAGGGGACGCGGGGTGCCGTGCCCCACGGACGAGCGCACCCTTCCCCCATGGCAGGGAAACGGAAAGGACAGGGAAGGGGAGAGCAGGGGAGGGCGGGACGCGCTGGGGGGAAATGGGGAAGGGGGCAGAGGGGGGGAGGCAGGCGGATGTCAGGATATGCGGTACTGCACGCGCGAGCGGAGTGAAGCCGACCCACGCAGTAATTACCAGCTTACCTTGAAGGCCAAGCTGAGCGATTGCATCGTTGTCGTCCTTCAACCTCTTTGGATTCCAACTTTCATCATCAGCCTTGCGCGCGTCAACGGGCCCTGGATCCAAGGCGGGAGGCACACTTGCAACAGACGCGCATGTGCGAGACGAGGGACGGAAGTCCTCTTTCGATCCCACATCCTCCCCTTCACCCGCCCCATCCCATCTCCTCATCCCCCCTCCCCATTTCTGGTCCCTCTCCCATCCTCCGCATGCCCCTCCTCCTCCTATCCCATGCCCTCCTTCTAATCCCTTCCCATCCCCTGGACGGAAAACGTGCTCTCCTTCCAGAGGAGGGTAGGATAGGACTTTCATACCAGCGAGCTGCTTCGTCTGAAATATTGTTACGAACATCAAATCAACATTGTCGTCGAGATCAATTCGTCATTCACATCAGCATCCCAATCAGCATCCGCATCCTCAAAGTCCGAGCCATGGTCGTGATCACCCACGTCCTCATCATGGTTATCACCGTCATCGACAACACCAACATCATCACTCTCATCACAATCGTCGCCGTCGTCATCGCCGTCGTCATCAACATCAATGTCATCATCGTCATCGTGACATCATCACAGTCATCATCAGCAGCATCATCATCGGCAGCATCAGCATCACCATCATTCGCATACTCGTCCTCCTCTTCATCATCAGCATGATCATCGTCTTCAGCATCGTCATCATCAGCATCAGCATCATCATCAGCAGCATCATTATCAGCAGCATCATCATCAGCAGCATCATCATCACAGCCACCATCAGCGTCATCATCATGAACATTGTCAGAAGCTGCGTTGTCATCAGCAGCAGCATCATCAGCATCATCGCCATCATCATCAGCGTCATCATCATCGTCGTCATCATCATCACATTCATCATCATCCACATCATCCTCTTTACAAAGAAAATTATCATAGTCACCATTATCATCCTCATCATCAGCCTCACTGTCACCGTCCTCGTCATCGTCAGCATAACCATCAGCAGCAGCAGCATCATCATCATCACCAGCAGCATCAACATCATCATGAGCACCATCATCATCGTCATCATCACACTCATCATCATCGTCACGACCATCAACATTATCATCATCACGATCGTCTGCATTATCATCGGCAGCATCACCGCCAGCCCCAAGGCCATCCTCATCGCAACATTGCCAGCATCTGTATTCATCATCAGCAGCATCATCATCGGCAGCATCAGCATCATAATCCCCATCATCATCAGCATCGTCATCGCCATCGTCATCAGCATCGTCATCGTCATCACCATCAGCATCCAAATCAAACACTGCCAGCATCTGCATCATCATCAGCAACCGCATCGGCATCATCATCACCATCATCATCATTCTCATCATAAGCATCAACAGCAGTCTCCTCCTCCTCATCATCATGATCATGATCATCGTCAGCATCAGCAGTACTATCAACTCATCTTACCCATCATCCGAAGCAGCAGCATGATCGTCATCAACACCATCATCATCACCACCAGCATCAGCATCAGAATTAGTAGCACCACCATCATCATCGCTATCGCCACCGTCATCACTATCAGCATCACAACCATCAACATCACCCTCACCATCAACATTGCCAGCAGCTGCATCGCCATCAGCAGCAACATTATCGCTATTAGCATCAGAGTCTTCGTCGGCAGCATCCTCGGCCGCAGCATCATCCGCATGGTTAGTATCGTCAGTACCTGCATCATCATCATCATCGTCATCATCATCAACATCGCAAGCAGAAACATCATCACCATCAGCGCAATACGCATCAGCATCACCATCGTCGTCAGCACTATCAAAACCAGCAGCATCATCATCAGCACCCTCAACATTGCCAGCATAGGAACCATCATCAGCAGCAGTAGCATTATCACCCTCGTCATCATCACCATCATCGTCATCATCAGCAGCCTGCTCCGCATCATCATCACCATCAGCCTCGTCATCGTCGCCAGCAGCATCAGCGTCAGCATCACCATGATCACCCTCAGCATCAGCATCAGCATCGTCATCATAAGCATGTGTGCCGCCATCATTATCATCAGCATCATCGTCGCCATCGTCATCAGTATCAGCATCATCATCATCAACATCAGCATCCTCGTCATCAGCATTGCCAACATCTGCATCATCATCCTCATCAAGCGCAACATCATCATTATATTCCGCGTCATCAATGCTCCTCCTCCTCTTCCTGCTCCTCCTCGTCCCCCTCATCATCCTCACGATCACATCATCATCAGCAGCAGCATCACCATCATCTTCAGCATCAACAACAGCATCAGCAGCATCAGCATCAACATCAGCACTAGCGTCGGCATCATCGGAGCCGTCAGAGTCAACGTCCTCACCATGATCAAAATCATCATCATCAACATCATCAGCATCATCGTAATCAGCATCATCATCACCATCAGCATCAGCATCAGCACTGTCAGCATCTGCATCGTCAGCAGCAAACTCATCATGATGAGCTTCATATGCAGCATTATCAACAGCCTCCTCATCATCACCAACGTCCGCCTCCCCATGACCATCATCATCATCATCATCATCATTGTCACAATCAGCATGAGAGCAGCATCGTCACTATTACAATCAGCATCGACATCGCCATCATCATCATAATCATCAACCCCATCACCACCACCAGCATCTGAATCTTCATCAACGTCACAGCACCCTGTTAATCATACGCATCAACATGAGCAGCATGACCATCATTATCATCCTCCTTATCATCATCAACATCAGCGGCATCGTCATCATCATCAGCAGCATCATCATTGTCAGCGTCCACATCATACGCAGCATCATCGTCATCCTAATCAGCACCGTCCTCGTCATCCTCATCATCATCCACGCTATCACCGCACCATCATCATTACCATCACAATCCTCATCATCCGCATTATCAGCATTGCCAGCATCTGCATGATCATCATCCTATTCATCAGCCGCAGCATCATCAGCAGCGTCCTCATCAGCATCATCACCAGCACTTTTATTATCGTCAGCATCTGCATCAGCATCACCATCATAGGCGTAAGCATAATCAGCATCAGCGGCATCAGCAACATACGTAGCATCATCATCAGCACCGCCATCGTCATCCTCATGATCAGCATCATCATCAGCATCATCAGCATCACCATCATCAACAACACCACCACCATCATCATCATCACCACCATCGTCATCATCATCATCATCAGCATCATCATCATCATCATTATCAATCATATCCTCCTTCTCCTTTTCATCCTTCTCATCATCGTCAGCATGAGCATCAGAATCATCAGCAGCAGCATTATCGTCATCGCCATCGTCGCCATTGTCATCATCAGACCCACCATCATCAGCGTAATCATCATCGGCATCACCATCATACTCAAACATTGCCCGCCTCTGTACCAGCATCAGCAGCATCAGCATTATGATCAGCGTCATCATCATTATCATCAGCATCATCCCAATCATCAGCATCATCATTATCATCACACTCATCATCATAGTCATCATCAGCAGCATCATCGTAAGCTTCAGTATCAGCATCAGCATCGTCATATCCATGGCCACGTACCAGCATCACCATCACCGTCACCATCATCAGCATCATCATCATCATCATCAGTATCAGCATCATCATCACCATTATCATCAGCATCATCATGAACATCATCGTCGTCATCACCATCTCTTCATCATCATCACCATCGCAATCATCAGCATTACCACCACCAAAATCATCATCACCATCATCATCACCAGCAACATCAACATCGTCAACAGATGCATCATGACAGTACGCAACAACATCATCATGCTCATCATCCGCTTGATCTCCATCGCCATCATCCTCCGATATCTCATCATCTTCATCATCAGTATCCGCGTCGTCAATTTCAGCATCAACATCAGCATCATCATCGTCAGCAGCAGCATCATGATCATCATAAACGTCATCCGCATCGTCATCGCTCTGATCACCACGATCACAAACCAGCATCATCATCCGCCTCAGCAACATCATCGTCAGCATCGGCAGCATCCGCATAATTTCCCTCCTCATCATCAAAATCATCGTCGTCGTCGGCGTCAGCATCAGCATCATCGTAATCATCCACAGCATCATCATCATCAGTCTCATCATCAGCATCCTCCAGCATCATCATCAGCATCATCAACTTCACTGTCATCATCCCCATCCTCCTCCTGATCATCATCATCATCACAATTGGAATCATCATTCTCACCATACATCCTCCCGTCCTTCCCGTACCTCATCCCCCTCCCTTTCCTTCCTTCCTACCTCCCCACTTTTCTGGGACTCTCATTGGCAAAATGCTCTGCTGTTTGTGTTGGTGGCTGGGGGGCACGCGGCCGTGTCCAGGCCTCACCCCCACGCCGCCGCCCGAGCCGGCTCCCTGCGCCACATCGCGGGCAGGACGGGCTCGACAATCTCCCAGTTCTGGCCGTAACGGTCGCTGAGGTCACCTCTGGAAGCCTTGTCTACTGGATTGTCCGGCGATGATACGCGTTCCCACCAAGGATATAGACGCCGGGCCCGGCATGCCTCCCAAGTAGCGTACACGATCTCGTTGGTGTGGATGGCTTTGGCGGACCCTTTGATCAGAGAAAACTTGGCACTCTCATTATCGATGAAATGGATCCACACGCACTCCGTCAACAATGTAGGCCATGTTTCAAGGGCTAGTAGGGGCCCGACTGCTTCGATCTCCTGGATTACGTTGCCGCGCCGGCCGTCCTCCGACCACCGGCGAAGCCACTCCTGCGGGACGTCGGCTGCGGTCAATCTTGGCCGAAATCCTGGGTCGCTGGGCTTCCATATGCCTACCGCGACGCGCCCCGTGCCTTCCCCGTCGCTGACGGTGATCAGGAGGGGTCACTTGTCCAAGTCAAAGGGAACCTCGCGCCCCGACTGCTCTGACACAGCGGTCCAGAACCAGGACAAGGAAGCTCGCAAAGAAGACGGTAAACCACGTCGCTCCTTGTCGTCGAACTGTCTGCGCCGCAGCGGGACCAGGACAGCGGCTCCGCCGACCGAACAAGAAAGATCGCGCCCAGCCTAGTCTCCCGCGCAGAGGGCCCGCCTCTGCCGCGCTCAAGCGACCCCGGCGCAGGTAGCCCTCCAGGTCCGCCAACAACGCCTCCACTCTGTCCCGAGGCAGCCGGGCCACGGGCCGCGGGCAGCCGACGTGGAGCTCTGCCCCTAACAACCTCCAGATGCTGGGCGGGAGCGGCGATTTGGGGAAGTCGAGGCGCCACCCGATTTCCTGGTTGAGCCACACCCAGCAGAACCACGCACATTCTGCTGTTGACCCACGCTCCACTGCCCAAGCGTCGTCGCTATAATGATGCATGGGGACGTCGAAGAAATGGCGCATCACCGAACACATCGCCGAAGGGTCTCGGACATAATTGAATTGGGTTCCAGCGGCCGCGCCCCCGAACACCTGTCCGAGGTTTCTCAGGAGAACGGGTTCTCCGCGGCCTGGGTGCCACACGGCGGACCACATGTACGGTATCTGCGAAGGGGACAATGGGCTCTGCCGGAATGCCCCGCTGTAGTCCGATGAAAACCCCGCCAGTGGCTCGTCGGCGCCCCAAAGCTCCTTGCAGAACCTGACGGCCGCCCGCGCCGTGTCTAAGTCGTCGGGGGCGTACGACTCGTAGGTGTGCACTGTCCCGTTGGCCCCGCTCGCCTTCAGATTCTCAATGTTACGCGCCTTCCACTGGCCCTGTGAGCCCCGCTCCCACACTGGGAAACTTGGGTGCACTGCGATGGCTGACAAATCCACGCCGCTGACACGGAATGGGCCCTGCACAGCACCAGTCGCGATCTCAGCTTCCCGCTTCTCCCATGCCTTTTTGTCGAGCAGTGCATCTCCTGAGGATTTGACTGCAGCAACAATACTGGCATTTCGATCTGGGGCCTCCCTGATCCAGTCGCCCAGATTCACTCGAGCAGGTTTCTCCGCCACTCGCCATATACCTGCACCGTGCACGGGGGGGGGGCGCGGCTCTTCTGTGTTGTTACAGCGGGCAACGAGGGCAGCCCCCACTTTGCTTGCCCGACCCCAGGCACGGGGACCGCGGGCGCCCCGGAAGACAGGGAGGAAGAGGATTGGAAATCGTGTTTCGACTTTGCCACAAGACCCCGCCTCCAACCTCGCTATCGGCCATGGGATTGTCAGGTTGCTGGCCTTACCGCCAGCAGCCAGGCCCCTTTTGCGGATGCCCCCGCTGCCCGCCCAGACGGAACGCTTTACCGCGTTTCCAGACGACCGCCCCCCCGCGCACGCACCTGCAGTCTCAATCTGCCCCAGGGCCGGCCGGCCCGCGGACAGCGACTTGAAATACTCTGCATCGGGGTGGTTCGACATGGCCACAAACTTCTGGAGTAACGGCCCATGCAAGTGGCCGATGACACTCTTCACGTCCGGATGCAGCGACTCTGCCCAGGCGTGCCTCTGATCTTGGAGCTCTTTCGACCACTCCGCGATCTGCGCGCACGCCCGCATTCTCCTCGTGGGGACACGCACACACACACGCACACACACAGATGCACACGCATGGGATGTACAGACGCGCGCATCTCTCATTGCTGTGCTACTTACTCCCCTATTCCCGGGCGGGCGGCAGGCCGACCGGAAAAAGGGGCGCAAACTTGTACCGACAGATTTTGTGCAAGCAGCTCTGTTGCGTTTTTCTTCAGCGCGGTCGGGGCCGTCGGCGGAGGCCGACCGGAAAAAGGTTCAAATTTGTACCGACAGATTTCGGACAAACCGTTGGGGGTCCACAAATCAAACAGCGCAGCCACTTACATCCCGAAGGCCTCCTGAGGCCTTCGGAGAAAATAAACCGCACCTGATTCGCCGATTATACCTGTTCTCGGGCACTGCATTTACAACAGCGCCCGACCCCAAGGTCCTCTCGGCGAGCTCGCTCGCTTCGGCCGGCTGCCGTCGGTACGCTGCGTCGACGGCGTCGCGCAGGACCGGAGGCGCCTGCATGGGGTGCACCACGGACGCCACGTGGTGCAGAAACCCGTCAGGCCCCACGCCCTCCGGCAGGAGAGGAGGGCCACCTGCCCCCCGAGGTTGCAATCCTCCCGCCACCACGCGGGCAGCCCGCGCGGGCGCCGGAGCCGCGCCCGCTGGGTCCTGCGATTCCACACCTTGCGAAGTCTCAGCTGACGCTCTCAGACGCTTCTCTGGTGGCCCAGAAACGTCTTCACCATTGTCAACCAAGCCTCGCTGGGATGGTGCGTGGCTCGGGTGGGCGGGGGCTCACGCCCCCCTGTGCCCCTCGCACGCCGGGTGGCTCTGGCCGCAGCCCTTCACGTTGCACATGTGCAAATACCTGCACTTTTTCCCGTAGGTGCACTTGCCGTCGTTGTAGAACTTGCAGATCTGCTCGCCCCCGAAGGACTCCACGCGCTGGAGGGCCACGCGGCTCCTCTTCGCAGCCGGCAGCTGCGCGTCTCCGTCCGCGCTGGACCTGTCGCCGCGCAGCTCCGAGAACAGAGACACCCACTCTGTGCGGCAACTCTGGACGGCCGCTGTGAGCGACTTGCCATCGCTGCGAACCGCCTCGACCCACTTGGCCCTCATCTGGCGGTCCGCTTCCGCGACGGCGTCCACGGTTGGGGTCCGACCGTTCCTGCGCTCGAACAGCTTGACGACGACCCACTCGTGGTAATCGAGCAGGACTGACCAGTCCGCTGACGCCCAGTCAGGCGCAGCTGCCAAGGCCAGCGTGTTCATGAGCACCCTGTGCTTGTACATGAACCCGACGGCAGAGAAGGAGCCCGAGGTGTCGTCGTTGACCTTGGCACCAGAGCCGCCGCCCGGCGCCGAGATCCCGGCCTCGCTGTTCAGCGCGCGGACCTTGCGCAGGTCGTGGACCGTGGGTGCGCGCCGCTCGTGCTCGCGGACCAGGCGGCCCGCCAGCGTGTCGCTGCCCATGAGGTGCGCTGGAAGGCGAATGTGGTAGTAGCCCACGAAGCTCGCCGTCTTCTTCTCGCGCACCTCTGGGTCGATCGGGTCGTCCCAGTCGCCGCCCTTGCCCTTGCGGATGAGGTCGAGCTCGCCCGCGACGAGAGCCTCTGCTTCCTGCCAGGCTGCTTTGACAGGCTGGCACAACGGCCGGTCGTTCCCATCCAAACCCGCCGGGACGCAAATGCCCGCGACGGAGTCGGCCTTAGAGTCTGCCAGCCCGGCAAACTGACCTACAGTCAGCATACCTTTCTCACGCAAGTACTGCGTGACTTTCGGGTCCACCGCATACTTCTGGAGCAGCTTCGACAAACGCCCGTCGAGCTCTGCTGCCATTTTGGCCACTCGGTCACCAGGGTGGGTTCGTGGGAGTTCGCTAGCGCCACTGGGGCGCGCTGCCTGAGCCGAGATGGCTATAGGCAGCTCCGGTCGAGCTGGCAGGAGGCCCCAGGAGCAGGTGCAAGAGGAGGGCCGATCACGGCACCCTATCTGCGCCTGTCTGGTCTCTGTCCTCGCGTCCTGCCAGCGCTCGCCCACTCACACAAATGATGGATGAGGATCGCCTTCAACCCTGAACGCCCTGCCAATACTCGGATCACTAGGCCCACTTCAGCACAACGCACGTTCCATCTCGAAAGGCCTCCCACTGGCGCAGAGGAGGATTTTGCGTCATCAGCCTTTCCCTCAATCACTCAAGGGACGGAGGACGATGACCGGCCACGCCCTCACTCACAGAGATGATGGATGAGGATGGCCTTCAACCTGGAACGCCGTTCCCTCATGCGGCCCACCGATCTGCCACGCATACTGGCCCCTCCAACCTGCACGAATCTCCACTGTCGCAGAAGAGCACTGTGCGTCATCTCTTCAACTCTACTCAGAAAGGTGACGGGATGAGGACGGCCTTCAACCTAGAGCGCCCTCCGCCAGATCATCTGAGCTCCTCGATCCTCTCCTCGGAAGCGCGGTTACCGTCGCTCCGAACCGAACGGCTCGGACTACCCAAGCATGGTACAGCGAACAGACCTCTGTCGAACATGTTTTGGCCTGGCACGTCACACGTTCGCACGGGCATACCTCTCGCGCCAGCTTGTCCCTTTCACTCGGGCCCTCTTGTGGACGAATGGAAACACCAACCGGTGAGGACGGGTAGAGGAGAGAGAGAGAGAGAGAGAGCCTCAAGGATAGGAGAGGACTGGGGGGGATCACGGCACGGGTGGAGGCGCAGGGAGGCACGATTGCTCCCTCACCCCTCAGATATGGACTGAAGGACATAGGTGAGAAGTATGGACGCCACCGTCCCTGCCCACCATGAGCCTCCCGACAACTCTCACCATACATCCTCCCGTCCTTCCCGTACCTCATCCCCCTCCCCTTCCTTCCTTGCTACCTCCACACTTTTCTGGGACTCTCATTGGCAAAATGCTTTGCTGTTTGTGTTGGTGGCTGGGGGGCACGCGGCCGTGTCCAGGCCTCACCCCCAACGCGTAACCTGCCAGGCCTGGACACTCCAAGCGGCGGCCCCTGAGCCCACCCAACGCGCGCCCCTTACCGGGCGTCGTCGCTGGTGTCGGTACTGGCAGACCCGTCGCCCGCATCGGAATCTCGCGTGTCCTGCGGCGGCGGTCCACCGTCTGCGCTCGAGCTCTCCTTCCCTTGCCACTCTGGAAGGCCGCTGCGCGCTCGGGACCAGCACTTCCCGCAGCGCACGTAGCCCTCGTCGACGTAGCGCTGAGGAGGACCAGAAACTGCTTCCACCGAGCGGCGGGAAGCCGCCCACCAGAAAGCGCAAACAGTCCTCCTCGGCTCCTCGGCTGACTGCCGATGCAGAATCCTACTGCCCCCGTTCAACACCAGACCGACTGGCGTCGCAGCAACTACACTCTCGCGTTCTTGCTCTGGGACTGTGGCAACCACCCGCCCGTCGCACTCCGGCGCAGCGCTGGGCGAACCCGACGGGCGGGACGCCTGCCAGCATGGTAGCTCGAAGGCCCCAGCTGGCTTGAACCCAGCTCCAAGCCGCTCCACAATGTCATGCTTCAAAAGCAGCTCGGTCACGCACCGCGCCCTGTCATACCGGACTGGCATGCCCGACGCGGGGCCCCATCGCCCCAGCGTTCTGCGCTCCTCCATGGGAAACCGCAGTTGGCCCGCTAGGGATGGCATGAAGAACCGCGGGCTGTGCAGCGACCACTCCGCCACGTCCCCGGCGACGCCACACGCCCGCAAAGCGTGTCGCATTGCGTTCAGAGCACCTGAATACGACATGGGCCTCACTGGCTGCAGAACCACGAAGGCCCCCAACCGGAAAAGGACAGCGGGGACCACAAAATCAGCAGTGTGAAGATCCACGTACATCGAGATCGTCGCCCAGAGCGGACCACCCCAGTCCCGCCCTTGCCAGTCACGGCGGGGCGCGGCCCACGGGGTCTTGCCGACCTTCTTCTTCGATCGCCAAGTCTCTGCGTAGATCGCATCCGCAGATAGGGTGCACGCTGCCGACCGTTGCAAATCTGACCACCGCAAGCACGCGAAAGCCAGAAGCAGGATGAAGCCCATGGTGATCACGCTGGCGTGGTCGCGAGATGTCACTGCAACGAAAAAGGCGCCCAAAATGCGGTCCACGATGTCATGGGTGAGAGGCGGAGCCTGTTGCCTGGACTCTTCCGCCTGTCTGGTGGACGCTGTCCTCTGCGCTTCCACCACTGGGTCAGCGAGCGGCCACTTGAACTCGAAAATCTCTTGCGCCCACAGCAGGGACGCGAAAGCGGACCTGGGCACCGACGCGCCCCTGTCTCGCGCATCCCGCAAGTGGAGAGCGATATCTTCAGCGTCCAGAGCCCATGGATCTCGTCCTGCCGCTTCGGCCCATGCTCTCAACCGATCCACACATCGGAGGTGCGACCTGAGCGTGGTAGCGACCCTCGCCCTCTTCGTAAAAAAGCGGCCTCAAAAGATCCACTTGATCGCCCCAGGTGAGCCCACGCACAGTGAATCTTTGCATCCGGGGGGAGTGTGCAGAAAGATCCCGTGCCAGTTCTTCGCATCTCATGAATTGTACCTCCAGAAACGCATTTTCGCGATCCTGGCAGGTAACTGCGCCGCTCTGTTTACGGCGCTTACGACCGCCGCTTACCTGGGAAACCCTTACCGGCTTCACCGCCGCAGCGTTTGCACCAGACGCCCGTGCCGGCGCTAAGACACTTGACGTGCCACTGGCCACGTCTGCACGCGCAGCACCTCGGACAGAGGCATGCGCTACCGCCTCTACTTCCGCGTAGAACGCGCTGTAAGGTTTACAGCTATCCAGCTGGGCATTACCGCCCACTTCCGTGACGACATCTTGCTTTCACAACATTCAAGACGTCGTGGTCGAGCAGATACCGCTCGAGCTCGGCGGAAGCTGGCCCTGACTGGGCCACGCACGCACGTAGACGGGGAGACAACACAGGCTTTACTGCCTCGTCACCCTCTACCGATACATTGGGTTCTACACCGCTGCCGCCTTTACCGGCTGCGCGGATCTCCTCGGCCTTACCGCCTGGAGATGCCCCTTGCCACATTACCGTGGCTAGCAACACGCGCGCATTGACACTGCCCGCGCTCAGGGAATTACCTCCCACATGCCGAGGCCGTACCGCCTGGCCTCGCACTTGCCACCTTGCCGTGGCGATTCTCGTGAGACATTCCGTCCAGGGACTTACCTCCCCGTTGTCACCTTGGCCCTGGCGCCATGGCAACGGCGCAACAGTTCGCTAGCGCCACTGGGGCGCGCTGCCTGAGCCGAGATGGCTATAGGCAGCTCCGGTCGAGCTGGCAGGAGGCCCCAGGAGCAGGTGCAAGAGGAGGGCCGATCACGGCACCCTATCTGCGCCTGTCTGGTCTCTGTCCTCGCGTCCTGCCAGCGCTCGCCCACTCACACAAATGATGGATGAGGATCGCCTTCAACCCTGAACGCCCTGCCAATACTCGGATCACTAGGCCCACTTCAGCACAACGCACGTTCCATCTCGCAAGGCCTCCCACTGGCGCAGAGGAGGATTCTGCGTCATCAGCCTTTCCCTCAATCACTCAAGGGACGGAGGACGATGACCGGCCACGCCCTCACTCACAGAGATGATGGATGAGGATGGCCTTCAACCTGGAACGCCGTTCCCTCATGCGGCCCACCGATCTGCCACGCATACCGGCCCCTCCAACCTGCACGAATCTCCACTGTCGCAGAAGAGCACTCTGCGTCATCTCTTCAACTCTACTCAGAAAGGTGACGGGATGAGGACGGCCTTCAACCTAGAGCGCCCTCCGCCAGATCATCTGAGCTCCTCGATCCTCTCCTCGGAAGCGCGGTTACCGTCGCTCCGAACCGAACGGCTCGGACTACCCAAGCATGGTACAGCGAACAGACCTCTGTCGAACATGTTTTGGCCTGGCACGTCACACGTTCGCACGGGCATACCTCTCGCGCCAGCTTGTCCCTTTCACTCGGGCCCTCTTGTGGACGAATGGAAACACCAACCGGTGAGGACGGGTAGAGGGGAGAGAGAGAGAGAGAGAGCCTCAAGGATAGGAGAGGACTGGGGTGGATCACGGCACGGGTGGAGGCGCAGGGAGGCACGATTGCTCCCTCACCCCTCAGATATGGACTGAAGGACATAGGTGAGAAGTATGGACGCCACCGTCCCTGCCCACCATGAGACTCCCGACAATCGTCATCGTGAGCATCAGCACCAGCATCACCAGCAGCATCATCATACTCATCATCAGCATAATCAGGATCATGATCATCATCATCATCAGCAGCAGCATCATCATCGCCAGCAGCGCCATCGTCAGCAGCACGATCATCACTACCACTATCACCATCATCACCACCACCAGCAGCATCATCGAAATCAATAACAACGTCAGCATCCGCATCGTCATCATCAGCATCAACAGCAGCATCATCGGCATCATCATCGTCCTTGCCATCATCAGCATAATCAGCATCATTACCATCATCATAATGTGCATCATCCTATTCATCATCTTCTTTCCCGGCCGCATCATAATCGTCAGCATCATTGGCAGCATCAGCATCATCATCGACGCCATCATCAGCATCAGCATCCGCATCATCATCAGCATCATCATGAGCATCATCCTCATCAACATCATCATCAGCAGCATCAACATCACCATCGTCATTGCTATCGCTATCATCACCATCAGCATCCTCACCACCATCATCAGCATCGTCATCATCGTCATCAT